CACACACACACACACACACACACACACACACACACACACACACCACGGGTGTGAGATGCATGGAGTAACAAGCAACTACTTTGGACATTGTGTCGCTGATGTGACAAGCTGGAGTCCTCTTCGCATGCTGTGGATACGTGTTGGCAAGACTGTGGAGCCCAACATCTGATGGGCGATAGAAAGTACGAGTAAACAGTCTTCCACTGCCTATTCTGGAGTTGGATTTTGATCTTATCTCAACAAGATGAGCATGTATGCATATCACACTCAGTGAGCATGAATGGCTGTCATATGCTCCTTCAGCTTCTGGTCTGAGCACGGCCGGATCATCCAGCGAGTCTGATGACCATGTATTGGATGGGCCTTTGTTGAATTCAGAGAACGAACCTAGCCATTCAGGAGGCATGGTGCCCACACCGCACATGCTCTGCATTATCTTGTGGTTGAGATTGCTATTGCTGCTTCTTCCACTCTCCCCCTGCTTCACTGCTTCCACCATTGGCACTCCTTTTGCCAATGGTGTCTCTGATTCTGTGTTGCTTTCCCCTGCCATTGTAGCATCAACCAATCTTGGACTCCTGACGCAGTCACACTACATCAATGGCTGTCCCCTGCCATTGCAATTGCAGGATCAACCAATCTTGGACTCCATTGGCACTTATTTTTTTACCGAAGTGTTGCAAGTGTGCCCACTCCCATGACTGTGTAACTGTGAATGCCGCCGACTGTAACTGTGAATGCCACCGCAGCTCATTCTGCAACTGTCACTCGATTGTTACTGCAACAGGTACGGCGACCTGTACGGTGACTGTTACTGTAATTGTTACTAAGAATTTTACTCCGCAGTGCGCCTGTTACTGTCAACTCAACTGTTACTGCCACTATTACTGCCACTGTTACTTCCACTGTTACTGCAGTACCATTGTTACTACCACTGTTACGGCTTACTCCACAGTGCACCTGTTACTGTCAACTCAACTGTTACTGCCACCGTTACTGCCACTGTTACTGCCACTGTTACTACCACTGTTACGGCTTACTCTGCAGTGCGCCTGTTACTGTCAACTCAACTGTTACTGCCACTGTTACTGCCACTGTTACTACCACTGTTACTGCCACTGTTACTGCCACTGTTACTGCCACTGTTACGGCCACTGTTACGGCCACTGTCCTAGAATATCCTGGTTTTCCGGTAGTCCGGATGGGGCCGGGAGGTCTGGAGTACGGGGTCTGGATTTGGTCCGAAGTCCTGTACGGCGTACCTATGGCCAAATCCAAGGGGAAAAACTTTATTTGGTGAGGATGGGGGGCCGCGGGGGGGGGGGGGGTGTCCAATCTGGACAGTCAGGAGCATTGCAGACAGAGGTCCGCCTGGATGTCCCGATGGGGCAGGTGTCCAGCTCCTGCGCAACCATGACTTTTTTATATTTTTATTTTTTGCCCAGCGCAGCAGTGGTTCCGGTTCACTCTGCTAGCCTAGGCGTACAAGGTAATTTAAACAAAACAACTCCCTCCCGTGCCCCCCCCCAAAAAAAAAGGGAGTGCTTCTGTCACCTGAGTAGCCACCATGAGCAAGGGTGACAGCTGTCACACATTGCTACTGCCACCTGCGTAGCGACCATGAGCAGCGGTGACAGCTGTCACACATTGCTGCTGCGACCTGAGTAGCCACCATGAGCACAAGGGTGGCATCTATCACACACTGCTGCTCCCACCTGAATAAGTATTGTTTTATTCTTGCTGTGTTGTGGCCAAAGAATTAACAGATTTGGAAAATAATTGCCGTGGCGGTAGCGGCAGTAGCCGAAGTATTCCAGGGCAGGAGTAGAGGAAGTGGTGACAGCCTTAAAAATACTAAAAGGGGTCAACAACACAGCACACCGACATGACACCTGGACAAGGAGGACGCTGAGGACGAGGAAAAGCAAGAAGAGGGGAAAAAGGAGGAGGAAGAACAGGAGCTGGGAGAGGAGCAGGAAGAGGAGGAGGAGGAGGAGGAGGAGCTGGTGGAAATGTAGCTCAGATTCTTCAATTTTGAAATGGAGAGTGTGTGCGGCCTTGCACATATGCATACCTGGACCATCCTCGTGAGCTCACGGCCCATAGGCCTCAGAGCTTCGCCCACTTTCACCTCGAGCGGCCACACCTATCACGTACGATAGCAACATGCAAGAGAGAGAACAAAGTGCAGCCACAACACGTCAGGAGAAAGGCATAGGTGCAAGTGGAAGTTGGAACTGCACTGCGTATAGGGTTTGGTCCCTCACTTCGTATAAGACGAGATAGCAGCAGCTGTGGCAACTGCATGTAGGGCTTGATCACACACACACACACACACACACACACACACACACACACACACTCCTGCTCTTCAGTCTGTTTCTTTTTTTCGGTATTTTTTTTTTCAGAGTTGTACGTATTCAGTCTGTTTCAAACCTTTGTGCATAAGGGACGATAACATAGCACAGCATACAGTATAGCAACACCTATGCATAGAATAGAATAGAAAGAATAGAATAGAATGCTAAGAATAGAAATAGAATAAGAATAAGAATAGCACACCGTGACATGTTAAACCGCTAGTACACAGCCCCAGCCTTGCTGAAAAAGAAACCCGTCACCCTACGAAAATTTTGGAGGCTCGGCCTACCGGACCACAATGGCTTGGTGGCTCCAGCCGGAAAAGAAAAAAAAAAGTGCACCGCTGGCAGTTCAGAAAAGCTTGGCGCGCATTGAAAAAAAAAAAAAAAAAAAAAAAATTGGCGCACAGTAAGGCACCTGCAGGCCCAGGCGTACTGGTGGGGTTTAAACCGCTAGTACACGGCCTCAGCCTTGCAGAAAGTTTTTTGTCACCACAAGCAAAACTCCGAGACATCGCACGGCCAGGGGCGCGGTTAGAAAAAAAAAACGCGTTTCATGCTGACACCCGCGGGCCGATGTGTGGTGTACTGGTGGGGTTATTTAAGCCACGGCATACCATCACATAGCATAGCGATTAGCATCCCATCAGCCATTCACATACAGTGACAACAGAAGACTTAGCACACACCATGGCACAGCATACGCACAGCTCTTTCGGATGTGTTTCTTTTCCCGACTCTCTGCGTCCGCAAAGTCGGTGGTGCAGACCATGTCGAAAAGCCATCTGAGGATTACTTCCAATTCTCAGGCATTAATCCAGGATTTCATCTCAGGAATTAAGCCCAGAATCAATCCCAAGATTAATCTCAGCCCACATGGTTGAATGGTAAACCCGTGTAACTGTCGGAAAAAAACGGGTGGCCCCATAGTAGCATTAGTGGATCGATCTGCTGGTATAAAGGGTCATGAGTTCAAGCTCTGAGGGGAGCAGATCACCAATCCACTAATGCTACTAGGGGGCTACCCCTTTAAAAGCACTACCGTCTTCCCCCGAACATAACGCACCCTGAAAATGAACGTATACAAGGTATGTTTCCGGCCCGATACAGGCAAAATGGGGGTGCGTTGTGTTCGGGGGAAGACGGTAGTACCTCTGCCAGCAGTGGGAAATTAGGGAAAACGAGCTGTTCCCGAAGAGTTAGGAGGGCGGCCCCGGCGACGGCTGCCATTGATAAATCTCATCGGCGGCCGTCGTTTTGTTTCCGCCTGCCTCCTCCTAAGAGGTCGGAGGCCCACCCGAGGCCCGCTAATTTCGCCCTCGGCAAAGGTACTAGTCGTGGTTTAACAGCAAAAAAAAGAGAAGGATTTGGCCAGCAGGCACAGTCCGTGCTCTCACCACGATGACATCTTCGCCTGTGCATTCATTCAGGATTTCGATGGCCGCCTATCCTTAAAATTAAACTCTCAGGGAACTTCTCTGGATTAATCAAAAGGTTATTAATCAACACAGTAAATTAATCAAAAGATCAATCTCAAGAATAATCTCAACATTTGGTTTCCCCCCCCCTCAGGATAGATACCAGGAGCAACTTAAAAAAAAAAAAGGATAAAACACAGGATAAATCTCAGGATTTGCAGAGAGAAGACAAATCTGTGTGTGTGGTGTCAGCAAGACATTTCACATGTGTGCGTTTTGGCGGGAAAACAGGATGTGTGTTTTGGCAGAAAAACAGGATGGGTGTTTTGGCGGGAAAACAGCATATGCGTTTTGGCGGGAAAACAAAGATGTTCTGCCGAAGTGCCAGGATGATTGGGATTACTGAGGGGCATAAAATAATAAATAACTGAAATTAAACATAACCTACGTAGCACCGTGTTCGCGTACAGAAGCGAACGCGAACATGTTCGCCTGAACGCGAACAAGCGCCCAAAACCCTCTGAACGCGAACATTAAAAAAAAAAAAAAAAAAAGGTTCAAATTCTTAGCCAATCATGAGTTGAAAATCAAAAACCGAAAAAACTAAACAATTTCTTTTTCTTTTTTTTTTACGAAAGAAAATTATGTTCGCCCGAACATGTTCGCGAGCTGTTCACGCGAACGTGGAGGGGCGCGAACACGTTCGTCGTGCTACGCAGAACATAACAAATTTAATTTAACATATATTCGAATTATCTACTGAATTAATAATTAACCACGGACAAAATACAAAGATGGATAAAGCCAATTGATTGATTGTGGATGGGCTTAGAGGTGTCATAAAAACGATGAACAAAACGTGAAGGTTACCGGTTCACGAGCCATGGAGGGAGCAGGGGGAAGGGTTGGACAGGTAGGGGGGAAAGTGGGGACCAGGGGGGTTCCAAGGGGGGGAAG